CAGACATGTCAAAAATCAATAATTATCATCTACCTTCGAAAATGATATTAGATATCTCATCTAAATCAACGGTGAGTTTCATTTTATATCCATATTTTCTTCCAACTTGTTCACTTCCTCCAGTTTTGCGAATTATCCTCTTTAGAATGTCAGAAGATCGTAAACCTTGCGCTGATGTTAAATGTGAAGAATACACACCTGGGTACCTATCAACAAACCAAGCCTTTGACCCTCAAACTGCCTCATTTTTCTATGAATCTGGAGAATGTTCGGCCGCCACAAATGAATCGTCGTCGTCTTCACATCGTACTGTGAAAGTAGGTTATATTGAATGCAGAAAAATTTCGTTTCGTTTTTTAATGTTAATCTTTGCTGGGAAAATTATGACATGATACATCACTGTTGAACTATTGCTATAATCCATGCATATATTCTTATAATCTCCTTACACTAGCAGAATTGATTGCTTAAGCGTTAATTTTTGCCCATAGTCGCTTTACCTCGAAAAAATGATGTCATTAAAAGCTGAGGATGGGTAACGCTCTCCTTCCCATCTCTTCTCCTTTTTCTCCAAAGTGGCTGTTGAAATATGAAAAGAGCACGAGTCTGACTGGAAAAAAGTATAGGATTTTTTTTGATATTAATATTGGAAGTCGTTGTTTACGTTTGCATAAATTATCAGTTGCTTGAAAAAGGGCATAGCCGGCATCGCCCAGGTTAGACCGATGCTCATTCCACTGAGAGTAAATTTCCTGGCTGCCATCCATCTGTAGATATATAATCGACCACAAAAGGTTGCAATACTGCAAAAAAATGTTTTTCTACGGCTGTTTTACCGGAATCAGCTTACGGTAATTCGATTTTTCTTTAGATAGAGTGGACATTTGAGTTTGTTTTGTGGAAGCTAAGTGGAAAAAACTCAATCGCAGATGCGTTAAATTTAACTCCATTATAAAGCGCTCCTTGAAGTATTGACGAGCCCTCTGCTGATGATGATAATAAGCACATTTCAAAAAATGATGAGATTTGCACATGCTTCAAGTGTACCTTTCACAATGAATGCAGATTTTAGCGCACTTACCTCCATTAATCTCTTCTAACAGTTAATGAGATATGCTAATTTGCTCACATCCTGATTATTACGGCAAAACTTAGAAATGAGCAGTTCTCATTGCATATTTTGCGGTCACAAGTTATACACCGAATAGGAACGCGACTCAGTTGGTCATACAACAGTTCTAGAATACGACTAATGCTCAACATGTCAAAAATCTGTTAAAATGATTATTTTTTCTTCACATTAATATTCTGTTCAACCAGCAGAAAACATCCTTAGGCTGAATCTACAGAAAAACCGTTTAAAATCGTCACCGTCAAGAAGGAAGTAGAGGATTCCAAACCTCCACCGCAGCGCATTCCGAGCAGGGAATACTTAGAAGCCCAACGTCAGGTATTTGGACTACATTAGATTTTATCTCTTCCCATCAATACTGCTATTTTTTCGAATAACTATTTAAATGTTTGATGTTGTGTTGTTCCAGTACCAGCAAAACCTGCTTCATAGACAACAGTATCTCCTAACATCAGGGGTGTCGCAAGACCACAAAGAGCATCAAAATGGGAGAGTAGCAGCCACACCAAATTTTATTCAATTCCCTGGCGGAGCCTCTCTTCCTCCCAATCATTGCTATCCCCATACAGCCATCTACCCCCAACAGCATGCCGTTCACGCAAATGTTCCTTACCCTGTGGTGGTTCCTGGAAGACCGCTTGGCAGTCGGGTTGCAGCAGTTCCACAGAGGCTTCCACCACATATGATCATGCAATCGCGTTATACTGCTGGAGTACAGCCAGCTCCTAATTACGTTTCTCAAGGAATTCCTATGCGTCCTGGCGTACAATATCCAAATGTGCCGGTAAGATATATGCCATATGAAGGTGAAATGGAAGCGCCCGTTTACATCCCTGCTCAAGGCCAGGTGAACCATTTTTTGTCGTAAAGCCTTAATTTTCTGTAACAGTCTTTTTTAGGTTACCATGCCACCGGGAACCGTTATCTACACCCGAGATGGATGCCCTGTAGGTTATTACTTCCGAATATCAAACGTAAATCATTTTTAACGTCAGTTAGTTTATCTACGATCTTAATTTCTTAGTGCTTTTAATATTTCTTACTGCATAATATGAAGCTAAAATCAGCCCTCTGTGCGCAAAATCCATATCGATATCTTATCATAACGTTTTGCTGTATTGTAATTGCGATTAGAAAGTCAAATGTTATTCGTCCCCTAGATGTATGATTGGGTTCTGTGTGTGATATTCGCGAACTCCTCATATATCGTACATTTACGTAAGTTTTTCGTATAGTAACCCAATCGTAGAAAGCTGATTTTTCTGAGAAGCAAAGAATTTTGAGATTCTTTGTTAGATATCGTAGAACTACTTCTAAAAAAACATATTTTATCTTGCGACGTTTTAAATTTTTGAGCTTTGCCACATATCTTGCAATTTAGATGTCAATACAGCCAGCGCAATTTTCGTATGCTCCTGTTCCAATGGAATATGTT